AAATGACAGGAATCACCACATACCTATCAGTACTAACACTTAATGTTAATGGACTTAATTCACCCATCAAAAGGCACCATTTGACAAATGGATTAAAAAGGAAGATCCAACAATTTGTTGCTTACAGGAGACCCATCTCACTGACAGAAATAAGCATAGGCTTAGGATGAAAGGCTGGAAGAAGATTTACCAAGCCAATGGCCCCCAAAACAGGCAGGAGTAGCAATACTTATCTCTGACAAAGTAGACTTCAAACCTACATTGATCAAATGAGATAAAGAAGGACATTCCATACTAATAAAAGGGGAAATAGACCAAAAGGAAATAATAATTATCAACCTATATGCACCCAATGTCAACGCACCCAATTTCATCAAACATACCCTGAAGGACCTAAAAGCATATATTAACCCAACACAGTGGTTGTGGGAGACTTTAACACCCCATTATCATCAATAGATAGGTCATCCAAACAAAAAATCAATAAAGAAATCCAAGATCTAAAATATACAATAGATCAAATGGACCTACTTGATGTCTACAGAACATTTCATCCAACTTCTACACAATATACATTCTTCTCAGCAGCCCATGGAACCTTCTCCAAAATAGATCATATCCTAGGGCACAAAGCAAGCCTCAGCAAATATAAGAAAATAGAAATTATACCATGCATACTATCTGATCACAATGCCATAAAACTAGAACTCAACAACAAAAGTAAAGACAAAAAACATGCAAACAGCTGGAAACTGAATAACTCATTACTTAATGAACAATGGGTCATTGATGAAATAAAAGAGGAAATTAAAAAGTTCCTGGAAGTCAATGAAAATGAAAACACAACCTACCGGAACCTATGGGACACAGCAAAGGCAGTCCTGAGAGGAAAGTTTATAGCCATGAGTGCATATATTAAAAAGACTGAAAGATCCCAAATCAATGACCTAATGATACATCTCAAACTCCTAGAAAAACAAGAACAAGCAAATCCCAAAACAAATAGAAGGAGAGAAATAAAAAAATAAGAGCTGAAATCAATGAAATAGAAACCAAAAAAACCATACAAAGAATTAATGAAACAAAAAGTTGGTTCTTTGAAAAAATAAACAAGATCGACAGACCCTGGCAAACCTGACTAAAATGAGGAGAGAAAAAACCCAAATTAGTAGAATCAGGAATGCAAAAGGGGAGATAACAACAAACACCATGGAAGTCCAGGAAATCATCAGAGACTACTTGAGAACCTATATTCAAATAAATTTGAAAATCTTAAAGAAATGGACAGATTTCTAGATACACATGATCATCCAAAACTGAATCAAGAGGATATTAATCACCTGAATAGACCTATAACACAAAATGAAATTGAAGCAGCAATCAAGAGTCTCCCCAAAAAGAAAAGTCCAGGACCTGATAGATTCTCTGCTGAATTCTATCAGACCTTTAAAGAAGAACTGATACCAACCCTCCTTAAACTGTTCCACGAAATAGAAGGGGAAGGAAAACTGCCAAACACATTTTATGAAGCCAGTATTACACTTATCCCAAAACCAGGCAAAGACACCTCCAAAAAGGAGAACTATAGGCCAATCTCCTTAATGAACATTGATGCAAAAATCCTTAACAAAATAATGGCAAACCAAATTAAACAACTCATCAAAAAGATTATTCACCACGACCAAGTAGGCTTCATCCCAGGAATGCAGGGGTGGTTTATCATACAAAATCAATAAACGTAATAAACCACATTAACAGAAGCAAAGACAAAAACCACTTGATCATCTCAATAGATGCAGAAAAAGCCTTTGATAAGATCCAACACCATTTCATGATAAAAGCTCTAAGAAAACTAGGAATAGAAGGAAAGTACCTCAACACTAATAATGAACAAACTGAAAAAGAATACATGAAAATAATTCCATTTACAATAGCCTCAAAAAAAATCAAATACCTAGGTGTAAACCTAACAAAAGATGTGAATGACCTCTACAAGGAAAACTATAAACTTCTGAAGAAAGAGATTGAGGAAGACTATAGAAAGTGGAGAGATCTCCCATGCTCATGGATTGGTAGAATCAACATAGTAAAAATGTCGATACTCCCAAAAGTAATCTACATGTTTAATGCAATTCCCATCAAAATTCCAATGACATTCATTAAAGAGATTGAAAAATCTACCGTTAAATTTATATGGAAACACAAGAGGCCACGAATAGCCAAGGCAATACTCAGTCAAAAGAACAATGCTGGAGGTATCACAATACCTGACTTCAAACTATATTACAAAGCAATAACAATAAAAACAGCATGGTACTGGCACAAAAACAGACATGAAGACCAGTGGAACAGAATAGAGGACCCAGATATGAAGCCACACAACTATAACCAACTTGTCTTTGACAAAGGCACTAAAAATATACGATGGAGAAAAGCAGCCTCTTCAACAAAAACTGCTGGGAAAACTGGTTAGCAGTCTGCAAAAAACTGAAACTAGATCCATGTATATCACCCTATACCAATATTAACTCAAAATGGATCAAGGATCTTAATATCAGACCCAAACTCTAAAGTTGATACAGGAAAGAGTAGGAAATACTCTGGAGTTAGTAGGTATAGGTAAGAACTTTCTCAATGAAACCCCAGCAGCACAGCAACTAAGAGATAGCATAGATAAATGGGACCTCATAAAACTAAAAAGCTTCTGTTCATCAAAAGAAATGGTCTCTAAACTGAAGAGAACACCCACAGAGTGGGAGAAAATATTTGCCAGCTACACATCAGACAAAGGACTGATAACCAGAATATATAGGGAACTTAAAAAACTAAATTCTCCCAAAACTAATGAACCAATAAAGAAATGGGCAAGTGAACTAAACAGAACTTTCTCAAAAGAAGAAATTCAAATGGCCAAAAAACACATGAAAAAATGCTCACCATCTCTAGCAATAAAGGAAATGCAAATTAAAACCACACTAAGATTCCACCTCACCCCTGTTAGAATAGCCATCATTAGCAACACCAACAACAACAGGTGTTGGCGAGGATGTGGGGAAATAGGAACCCTCTTACACTGGTGGTGGGAATGTAAACTAGTACAACCACTCTGGAAAAAAATTTGGAGGCTACTTAAAAAGCTAGACATTGATCTACCATTTGATCCAGCAATACCACTCTTCTGGATATACCCAAAAGACCGTGACACCGGTTACTCCAGAGGCACCTGCATACCCATGTTTATTGCAGCACTATTCACAATAGCCAAGTTATGGAAACAGCCAAGATGCCCCAAATACTGACGAATGGATCAAGAAAATGTGGTATCTATACACAATGGAATTTTATGCAGCCATGAAGAATGAAATGTTACCATTGGCTGGTAAATGGATGGAATTGGAGAACATCATTCTGAGTGAGGTTAGCCTGGCCCAAAAGACCAAAAATCGTATGTTCTCCCTCATATGCGTACATTAGATCAAGGGTAAACACAAGGTGATTGTTTTATCACAAGATAAAACCGAGAGCACACAAGGGAGATATGAGGATAGGTAAGACACCTAAAAAACTAAATAGCATTTGTTGCCCTCAACACAGAGAAACTAAAGCAGATACCTTAAAAGCAACTGTGGCCAATAGGAGAAGGGGACCAGGAACTAGAGAAAAGGTTAGATCAAGAAGAACTAACCTAGAAGCTAACACACATGCACAGGAAATTAATGTGAGTCAACTCCTTTATCTCAATTACCAAAAACCCTCATTTCTTCCTATTATTGCTTATACTCTCTCTTCAACAAAATTACAGATAAGGGCAAAATAGTTTCTGCTGGGTATTGAGGGGGTGGGGGGGAGAAGGAGGGGCCGGCGTGGGTGGTAAGGTAGGTGGTGGGGGAAGAGGGGAGAAATGACCCAAGCATTGTATGCACATATGAATAATAAAAAAAATTAATTAATTAAAAGAAATTAGTCTCCTAGTCACTCTACCCATCAAACTGCCTTTTATCTGCTTTATTATACCACTCACCACTACCCATCACTATATTGATAGGGTTTTTTTTTTAATGTTTGTTTTGCTTTGTTTGCTTTTTTTAGAATGTAGCCTCATCTATTCTGTTCCCAGCATCACAATAGTACCTAGCCCAAAAGTCTCCATTTTTCCAGGCATCCCAGGTTTGCTCATGGATCATCCTTTAGGAAAGAGACACTGTTCAAGGCATTACAGAGACTTAACACTTAGAACTTGTACAGCCCTCTAAATTGTCAGCATTTCTAATTCAAGCCTCAAGAATGACAGCATAAGTGAAACTCTACAATGGAGTCACATAGGCAGGGATCAGCATAGCATTAAACACAGAGACAAAATTACTCATTAAAACCCGTTAGAAGGCACCAAAGTGAAGAAACTGTTTTTTCTCCAATGTTGAAATGAGTCAATGTTTCTTAAATTAAACCTGAGAAAGTAGCTGGCTTGCATTTGGAGCCATACTGTATGAAAAAATGCACTTAAGGCAGCCAGATATGTGTGCTTTAAGTACTTACTATGCTGATTCACAGACCAGCCAAAGGAATAGCACATGAAACCAGCTGAAGAACAGTAGACTGACGTAGCCACTCACATGATCTTTTAGGGGCTTGTACTTACAGAGTAGGTTGGTGAGTCGAGTCGCCTATATCATTTGCCTATCATTTTTTGTTCTCTTGCTCTCAAAAGAGGAATAATTAAACTAGAAACTGACAATATGATACCATTTCAGACCAACAGGATGGGAAGGAAGAAAACAATGAGAAAAAAAAGTAGAAGGAACAGGGGAAAAGTATGAGTAATACATATGAGTAGAAAGGAAGTTGGAAATCCATAAAAGTGAAAAATACATGAGAGAATCCTTAAGATTTGGACTGCATTTAGCCAACAATGGTGGGGAACTTACAAGAGGAAAAAATGCATAGACAGTAAAAAGGTGAAGTGTTAGTGTGCTTGTCACACTCCTTTGCTTCCTTTTTAGCTTTACACGCCGCTGCCCTTTCTGGCCACGTCAGTACCGTGAAGTTATTGTTGGGAAACAAGGCTCAAGTAGATGCCACTGATGTCATGAAGCACACTCCACTTTTCCGAGCCTGTGAGATGGGACACAAAGATGTGATTCAGACACTTATTAAAGGTTAGTTCATACCAGTTCTCCTATCACGTCACTCACAAAAGGTAGGAATTCTTGCATACTGAGTTTGAAGTACAGCTTCACAGGACAGAGAGTCATGTGGACAGAAGGAAGAGGAAGAATGCCCTCCTGGCACCAAGAAACTCCCCTTCTACTAGCCCCACCTGTTGGTAGTTGTGAGCTACTGGAAAAGTCACTTCACTTGCCTGGTCCTTGGTTTCATTTGATGTAATAGGGAGTGCTTCCTGCCTTGACTAACTTACAGGCAAAACTCTTAAGTCATCAATGTACAGGAAAGCATTTCAAAGAGATTAACGTTTTAATCTCTTTGAAGTTCTTTTTTAACTTCAACTCTTTTTTCTTTTTTTGTTTTTTCTTGTACTAATTTCGATTTTTTATGAGTGCTATCTATATTAGACATTTGTATCATACTTTTGCTTTTTCAGGTGGAGCAAGGGTAGATCTAGTTGACCAAGATGGACATTCACTTCTACATTGGGCAGCATTAGGAGGAAATGCTGATGTGTGCCAGATATTGATAGAAAATAAGATCAATCCAAATGTGCAAGATTATGCAGGAAGAACCCCTTTGCAGTGCGCTGCCTATGGGGGATATATCAACTGCATGGCAGTGCTCATGGAAAACAACGCAGACCCTAACATCCAAGATAAAGAGGTAGAAATTGGGGTCTTTTCTATCAATCTGTTTATGGTATTCTTCTTTATTATAATTTAAATAAAACAATGATTTACCACATGAAGAAATCAGCCTCAAATATACCTGTTAAAGAATCCATCCATTTTTTATTCGCTGATGTTTTTCTTCTAGTACCTATCTATATCTATATATAACTTAACATAGTCATAATATAGACTAGGAATAATTTTACAGCTTTTATAAAATACATATGGCATATGTATGATATGTATATAAATATATATTGTATGATTTAAGCCACTTTTCCTTTTGTTCACTTAAAATTATCATCAACATTTTCTCACTTGATCTATAACCTTTTTTCATAATCACGAGTGCTCAATATTCCAAAATTCTAAGAACTTTATGCTATACCTCATTCAGTACCTACAACAACATTCACATGTAAAACAGTGAGGAAATTGAAACTGATACAGTTTAAGTATTTACCCTAAAATGATGACTTTCTGGGAATGGGAGAGTCAGAATGCAAACTATGCCTTTAACCCAAATTTTAGCATTAAATAAGTAACCTATTGGTGGACACTTTTCTGTTATTACAGATAATGTTGTAGGAATCATCTTAGTGCATTTATGTTTTTTTCTTTTGAATTATTCCCTTTGAGAATAATTGTCCATGAGTAAGACTATTGAATCAAGGCAACAAATGGTATATGAACATGATCAGCTGTGATATATACTGCCAAGCCGATTTATGAAAGATACTGATTAATCTTTACTTCCTACAGCTAGATATAATGTATCAGTTTCTCTCAATTTAGCCAGCATTGACTGGGGGGGGAGGGAGGGGTGCTAATTTATTTTAACTTTTAAAAATATTAGCATAAATTATGTTTTCCAAGTCAGAAAATAAAATTCCCTATTAACTTATTGAAGTTTTTATCAAGATTGTTAGTATATATAAAAATAACAAAGAAAGCTATGTAAATTATTGTCATTTCCTTGTATTATTACGAATGCATCATATATAATTTGATATACCTTTTATATTTTACCAAGTTGCCGATGTCTTACATAAGTAATATGTAAGCTCCTTTCCAGTTCTTTCAGTTTTTATGTGTAGTATTCTGGATTATCTATATAAATAATCTTGCTCTCTGTGAGTAACATTTTTATTTTTCATTTCCAATCCTTAGGCCTTTTGCTTCTCTGTCTTCCTTTTTTTGAAATAGCTAGGGTCTCCAATACAGTGTTGAATAGAATTGGTAATACTTGGCATCCTTAACTCATTTTGGTTTCTCAGAGGTCAAGCTTTCAATATTTCACCATTGAGTGAAATTATATTTGTAGTTGCTAAGAGTTACATATCATAGATTTTTTTTCAAATGCAATTGATGCAACCGTCAACAAGAACATATTATTTTCTTCTCTTTTCCGTTGACATACTGAATTATATTGGTTGATTGTTTTTCGGATGTTAGACCTCTCTTGCATTTCTTGAGTAAGCCTCACTTATGAAGTATTATGCACTTTATATATTGGATTTTATTTGGTAATATGTTAAGACTTCTCAGCTTATGTTTATGAGAAAATTTAGCCTATAATTTTCCATTCTCATGTTGGGCTTGTCAGATTTTGGTAACAAGGTATACTGACCTAAACAAAAGTATTAGGAAGTAGTCCCTCTTCTTATCCCTATAACAAGCTTACACAAGATTAGTGTTAATTAATTCTTCCTTAAAAATTTAGGAAAATTCACTGTTGACGTCTTCTAGTCTTGGGGTTTTCTTTGTGCAAAGTTGTTAATAATTCATTCAGGTCCATTAACTATAAGGGCCTCATGTTTGCTAGACAGGTGCTCTGTCACTTGAACCACACCCTTAGCCCTTTTTTGCTTCAGTTATTTTTCAGGTAGCGTCTCATGTTTTTACCTGGAGCCAGTCTCAGACCAAGATTCTTCTACCTACAGACCCCTGATAGCTGGGATCACAGACGTGTGCCACCACACCAGCTTGTGTGTTGAAATGGGGTCTTGCTAATTTTTTGCCCCTGCTGACCTTAACTTTCAGACATCCTGATCTCTACCTCTTGAGTGGCTGGGATTACAGTAGTGAGCTACCACCCTGCAGCTTCATGCTTTCTTTATCATTCATAACACTGAATTTTTTTGTAAGATTATAAGCCACGCATTTTATTAAACTTGACTCGGTTTGGATTTGTCTTATGTTTCCTCAAAATCAGATTCAAGTTTTGCATTTTGGAATATTACATGAGTAGTTTTGTTTGTTTGTTTGTTTGTTTTGTTTCTGGTGTTCTGGGCTTTTTTTTTTTTTTTTGCTGGAAACCTGTTTCCAAGGTCCCTTAGAGCAACCTACACAAACAAGAGGCTGCATACACTACCAAGGAGGCTGCTGTCTGCAGTCACTGCACACCAGGTGTTCTTGGCTTTGAACTTAGGGCCTCACAGTTTCCAAGCAGGCCCTACATAAGAACTATTGATTCCTTCTCAGGTATCACGTCTGGTGCCATGTGATGTCCTTTCATCATCCTGTTATGGTCACTTAGTGAAGACACCATCAGTTTATTCCACTGCCTACTTAATAGTAATTTGGGGGGATAATTACTTTTGTTTTTGAGTTAGCATAAATACACAAATGTCCAAAATTCCTTACTCCAAGTGCACTTGATTTTTGTTTGTGGCTGTAGGGAAGAACGGCTTTGCACTGGTCCTGTAACAATGGATACCTTGATGCCATTAAATTGTTGCTAGATTACGCTGCTTTCCCTAATCAGATGGAAAACAATGAAGAGAGGTAAGCCACTGACAAAAATGAGTGTACTGTTGTTCATCTCACATCCTTTCTGCCAGATTAAAAAAAAATCTTAAGTTTAGGTAGTGGTTCAGAAATAAGTATATTCATGAGGAGACACTGCACTAAGAAATCCTGAACCAGAAGAAAAAGCAACAGTTCCATGCAGTGTTGATTTAGAATCATTATAGCTGTTCAGAGCTTGGCAAGTTCTCATTCTGCATATGAGGAAAGAGGCCTTCTGCCTTGAGGATAGCGTAAGGTCAGTGAAGGCCTGGATGACGAGGACCAGGAATTCAGCCTAGGACAGCAGACTGGGTAATATAGTCAAGAAGTTTTTCTTGATAGAGAGGTTGTTATCAATTAGTGGGCAAAATGGCACTGCCATGCAGCATGAAAACTTGGACAAGCCAAGATGAATCTTCAGCATTTAATTTATAAATAAAGCTTTCTTGAATAATGTAAGATTAGGCCCAAAGTGAAGTCTAAGCAGGAGAGATTCTTGTTGGTCTTGGATCTAAGAGGAGTCTAGTAATTTACAGATAACAACTACATTTGTGATCAGACTTTACTATCTGGGTCCCTCCAGCCCAGGTTTTCAATTAGTTTTCACTATTTATGGAAGTGCTATGACCCTATCCCCATCTTCTAAGTCACTTTCAGTTTTTTCTCTGTTAGCAGGTGGGGAACGTTACAGAGAAGAAAGAAATGCTTCTCTGGTCCAACTACTTCAGAGGAAACAGGTCCTCCTATCTAAAACCAGCCCCCCTGCCCATTCTTTCACTACCTTTCTCATCAATGAGAAAACTAAAAATGTCTCCCTTTGTAGCTCTAAAGAAAAAAAAAATCATACCACATAAACAAACAGAAAGGAAAGATTAAAAAAATCCTAATAATTACTGATGATTTGTTTCTATAAAGAACTTATTGTATATAACATTATTTACTGCACAACTGCTATTTTTTAAAGAAACAATGAAAAATGTATTTTTTACAAATCATTTCCTATTTACATGCTAAGCCTTCAATTCCAAACTTAAGTAACTGCATAAATTAAGGTGCTTACTGCCCCTAGAATAAACTTAATTACAGACCAAAAGACTAAAGGAAAAAATCCTCCTAAGTATACTTGCCAATCCGTAAATAAAAAGAGACAGTGGTCATATCCCAGTCTCTTTTAATGTTTCATCAGCAATGCACCTTGATGTACAAATGTCATAGGCTGGCATTGCCTTTTATGTTTATTGACATTCTGGTTTAGGCATTCTACTGATGCCATCATTCCATTCCCACATGGCAAGTCCAATTGTATCTTATCTCTTGTCTTTATCTACATTGTTTCATGGATGGTTACCATCAATGTAGTGCTCATTTTTGTTTCTCATGCACTGACCCTAACCAGTTGATAAACCTTATAGAGACATAATTTTTCCAGCTTCGACTGGCTTTCAGTCAATAACTATCTGACAGCCACACTCTAACACAAAGCGGGATATTCATAGTACTGGAATGTTTCTAAATTGATTTGGGATGAAGAAAGATTAAGGAATAATAATAACAATGTGGGCAGTTGCTCAAACAGTAGGTATAGACTTCAATCTTAAAACCTTTCTAGATGTTTAGATTACGTCTCTTTAAATCAAAAATTGACTGAGAACCCTAATTGGAATAAACCTCCTGCAAAAAAAGACATTTTTGTGAAAATTGGGGAAATGGGATTATAAAGTGGCAGTAGAATTTACTAAAGGATTTCTGTTAATTTTGTTAGTATAATAATTACCAAGGCTATGCCTTACTGATTACAGATGAATACTGAAATGCATAGACATGGAATAATAAGAATTCCAAGATTTCTTTTGAAATACTTCAGCCAAAATTAAGAGGTTAGAAAAAGAAAATATAGAAAAAAAATACTGTTTCTTAAACCAGATTTTGATAATCCTGCTTACATACTATGTAAAGAACACTACATATTAATAATTATATAAAAATAATTAAGCTTACTATATATATATAATTTTTGCAGACTGGTTTTAGAAACAGTTCCATTCTATGGGAAACTTACTCAATAATTGATAAGAGGTGTTATGGGAAGATTACTGAAGGGAGTTATGTGACATTAGCTCTTCAACATTCTGTAGAAACTATAGTTATATAACCATTAGCAAATGTCTTAACCTAACTGAGTCTGTTTAAACATTTATAAAATGAAAGTGTTAAACTTATCTTTACTATCATATGGTTCAGTTACTGATTTTTTTTTCATTAGTGAAAATACAATCATGAAAAGCACTTCAGAATATATTGCAAAATTTTTAGACATTTCTTTGAATTCAAAATGTCATTGACTTATAACTAATAGGTACCTCTTTTGGTCCCTGAACAAGAGTGGCAAGTTGAGGTGCCCTAAAATGAGATTCTTAATGTCAGCATTCGGGGCTTTCATAAGGTAACTGAATACAAATGTTGTTGTTCAACATATGCTCTGAATTCAGTGTTTCCTTACTAAAGCAACCAAACCACCCTTATTCTAAGACCTCTTCCTTTTATGTCTTACTGTGACTGGTAGGCAATTTTCGAAGAGATAATTTTTCAAACCTCTAATCATTGTATGATTTTTCTGAGTCTAATCGTGCATCACTATAATCATCGTTTTTTCCACCTCATAAATCAGCTGGTGATTTCCTCTAATACTTCTGATTGCACTGACTTGTCGCAGTCATCCAGAGAGGACTCAGTGGGAAGTCATTAGGTAATCATAAACACTAGTTTGGGTCCTATAGAAATGATATTTATGATAGACAACTGAGGTATCTCAAACCGCACTACAGTGTGGGTCCTGCAGTAATAACAGTAATAGCTGACATTTATTTTCCTTTGCAGCAGGCATAACGCAATCCTCTTTATGTTCATTATTTCATTTTCTCCTTATTAACTTGCTCAAATATAAGGAAAGCTAAGGCTTAAAAACATCAAATAAGTTGTTTAAGAAGAGCTGGTCATCATTAACATCCCTGGGGGAATACGTTCCACTTCAATTTTTGTACTTTTACTCCTTTTTGAATTCTTAAAGCATGTAGCATTTTTACAAAGTATTCATTTTCCTTTAGAAAAGGAAGGCTTAGTGGATTTTGCCCTACAAAATATTGTTATTTTTATAGTCATATTTGTCAAGCTCATTTTTGAGTTTTGAATTTTGTAGCTTTTCTAGAAAAGACTTCCCACTTCTATACATTTTCAATTTTCCATGGTTATCTTTTTTTTTTTTTTTTGGAGTTCTGTCTCTCATTTTCCTTTTATTTTAGACTTTCATGTTTTCATTACTGTTATACCCAAACACACATAGTATCTCAAGTACTGAAATGTGCCTGTTCTTTTTATTTATTTATTTTTTCTTTTATTTATATGTGTATACAATGTTTGAGTCATTTCTTCCCCCTCCATGGTTATCTTATAGTACTTTCATGATCTCTTTTAATATTTAGATCTTTGCTCCATCCAGAATTTATTTTGATGCAAGATGGGATATAAGAACCTATTTTCTCCCATTTGGCTACTTGGTTGTACCAACACTATTTATTTAGTTCCATGATTTTCTTCAGTGATTTCAAGGGCCATCCTTATTCTATACATAGAATAGTATAGTTTTTATTTTATAAGCATGAATCATGAGCACTCATGGGCTCAATCTTAGCAGTCTCATAGATTTACAGTTCTTTTTCAGATAGGAGTAGGGAATTACTTGGCAGGTGGGAAAGAAGGGAAGTGACTATGTGTTCCCAGTGGGCACCAGTTTTTGAGGCAGTTGCAAAATCCAGCAATTGACAAGCTCAACAGCACAAAGCACCTAATGCAGCTTTGTTTTTTATTCCTCAAAGAAAAAAGCAGCAGCCCTGGGGAACAGTTCACATCTTAGAATGAGGTTTCTTTCTGCTGCATGATATTATTGCCAGTTTAACTGTGCCTTGAAGTACACTCCATTTTCAAAGCAGCCTTCCTCCCGCTTACAGGTACACACCCCTTGACTACGCTTTGCTTGGTGAGCGCCATGAAGTGATCCAGTTCATGTTGGAGCATGGTGCCCTGTCCATCGCAGCTATACAAGATATTGCTGCCTTCAAGATCCAGGCTGTGTACAAAGGGTACAAGGTCAGAAAGGCCTTCCGAGACCGGAAGAACCTCCTCATGAAGCATGAGCAGCTGAGAAAAGATGCTGCTGCCAAGTAAGTGTAAGCGGAGACTGGGTCCTCACAGCTTAGATTGGGGGAGGGAGTCACCTTCTTCCTTGTGCCCACTCCTGCATCTGCAGAGGACTGCGGCTGCAGTGAAGAGTGAAGGCCAAGCCTCCACTTGGTGGTCACTCCTTATAAATTAGTCCCTGATGTTGTAGCCCAGGGACAGGCCACCGGTAGGTAGCTGGGGTGAGACTGCTGCCTAGAGTAAGATGCAGAGATAAGCACTCTTCTTGCCCTTCTACTGTTACTAGATAGGCAGTAGATAGTGAATCTACTGTTACTAGGTGAGTATAAGTCTAGTTTTGATTTGATTAAAGCAACCAAATGTATAAATAACTGACTCTCCCCCACCTATTCCTGGGGTAACTGTATTTGGTATATATAATTTGGGGAACATCTGTGTAGGGTTTAGTGCTGTTCAAATTTCAGGCATCCGCTGGGGATGAATAAGAGGGGATACTGTACAATATTCCATCCCTCATAGACAGCATTTACCTGCAACTGAGGATAATTTGTCACATATATTACCTATTATGGTTGTCATCCATATGCAGAGATACAAATACAGTTGTCTATGTGCATAGGCGATTGGGACCAAGGACTCCCTCAGATACCAAAAGTGGTGGATGCTCAAAACTCTATATAAAATGGCAGAGTATTTTCATATAACCTATACACATCCATGCATATGCTGTAAATCATCTCTAGGTTACTTATAGCACCTAATACAATGTGAATGCTATGTAAATAGTTGTTATACTGTATTGTTCAGGGAATGGTGATGAGAAAAAAGTCTATTCACATGCAGTACAAATGATACTGTTTTTCTGAATATTTTCAATCCATGGTTGGTTGAATGCAAGAATGCAGAACTTATATATATTCAGAGAGCTAACTATAAAATACTTTATTCAAGAAATATTGATTGGTAGCTTTCTATACATACAAAGCCCTGGGGCTAGAGCCTGTGGAGAAAGTGGTGACAAAAAGTAAACACCATGCTTCAAAGACTTCACCGTTTTGGAAGTGAAACAAAGGGTGGAATATATCTACAAAACAGCTGTTTGTGTCTGTGCACATTGTGACTTCAGCACATAATGCCTTGATTGTAGATCCTGCTTTGTTTGCCTTTTGTTGAATGTTTGTGTTAGGTGGGAGTTTTTTAAATGTCAACAGCATATCGCATTAGCAAACACAGATGCCTCTGATGATGAAGATGCAGATGTCAGGCATGTTCTTATTAAAGTCTAACTTCCTGGCTATGTCTTGAGTGTTTCCAAATCTCGAGTCCTTCCATCAAATCTTGATTTCTTTCATTTCTTGCCCACAAGGGGGAAAATAAGTATAATAAGACCCACTAAAATAATAATACTTAAATAACCATGAAAATAATAAAGCAAGATAAACCACTTTAGTCAGAAGTTAAAAACTACTAACCATGTCAGCCCCCAGTGGATAAAACTGACAGAAGCACATTATTTTCTGTGACATTGACACTGCCGAAGTAGATGGCATCCTAGGAAATAATACCTTGCACTCTCCTCTTACTGAAGCTTTCTTCTCTTCACTTTTGCCAAAGGATCTAGTATTAGCAAAATCCTTTACACACCTCTTTATATTAGCCTTCTTATAAAAAATTCTCTGCATGTGGATGACAACCATAACAGATAATATATGTGACAAATTATCCTCAGTTGCAAGTAAATACTGTCTATGAAGGATGGAATATTGTACAGTATCCCCCCTTATTCATAGAGGATACATCCCAACATCCCCAGTGGATACCTGAAACTTGAACAGCACTAAACTCTGTATAGATGTTCCCCAAATTATAAATTATAATAGTTCAATTTACAGTTTTTAGACCTTAAGACAGTGCAAAGTGATAATGCCTTCAGTAGAAACTATTTCAGATTTTGAGTTTTGATATTTTCCTGTAGGGAGTGGAGAAGCCTAGTCAAAATGCAGCACAGCTGCTTTTCCTAAGTTGTTTACAGTAGGAACACAGGTTCCTCTTGTTACAATGTCACAGCCCTCCCCAAGAAATGTTGCTCCACCTCCTTGTTTACCATTGGATATAAAAGACTCGCTGAAGTAGTACACAAGGTTTTTTAATGGGGGATGGATTGATTGGTTGGCTGCTGAGTTATGCTAGAGATTAGAGGAAACATGGGACAGTGCAAGTCTAATGGGACAGTGCAAGTCTGAGCATGGAGACTTAAAGCTAACGAGAGAACATGGGACAGTGCAAGTCTAAGGACCAGGACCAAGACTTTAAAAGTTAGGCTAATGCAGTTTTTAGAATCGACTGCTGTTGTTTGTCTGCAAGTCTGAGCACCAAGACTTTAAAGGGAACATGGGACAGTCCAAATCTGAGGGCAGAAACCTTAAGAGAGATTAAAGAAAACATGGGACAGAGCAAGTCTAATAAAAGAGACTTTAAAAAATAGAAAAGAAGCAAGGTTTTAAAGAATTGTAAAGGAGTAAGGCCTTAAAGAATAGAGAAGAAAAGAAGCAATGAGGCTGTTGTGCATCTCCATCTGAGCGCTCAACACTCCTGGCCCCAACTTTATGCATGTCTGTCTTCTATCGTTTGTCCTTTCTTCATCTCCCGTCACCCCAGCTAGGTTCAGGAGGAACAGAGAGCATGAGAAAGCTCTCTGTATTTTCCCAGGCTAGTCATTTTCCATATGATACTTTTTCATAATGCTGAGGCAGCAGCAGTGGGCTCAACTCCCACTCACCCACACAATCATGCAGGGAAGTAACTGATGCTCTACAATGTCCTGGGTTGCTGAGTTATCATATTCAGTCAGTTAGGAAATTTTGAAGTTACTCTGGGTTTTCCAGGATATAAGGATAAATTGAGTAGTATTTGTAAATACTATGTTTTTTTTCTATTCACATATATGATGATAAAGTTTATTTCACAAATTAAGGACAATAAAAGATTTAAGTCTGGTGTGGTGATGCATACCTATAGTCCCAGCTACTCAGGAGGCAGAACGAGGAGAGTTGTGATCTGAGGCCAGCCTTTGGCAAAAGCGTGAGATCCTATCAAAAATGAACTAAAGCAAAAAGGGCTGGGAGTGTAGCTCAAGTGGTAGAGTGCTTGCCTAGCAAGTGCAAGGCCCTGAGTTCAATTCCCACTACTTCCAGGAAAAAAAGAAATTTAAAACAATATAACAAAATGGAGCAATTATGATAGTATGCCATAATAAAAATTATGTGAATGTAGTCTTTTCCTCTCAAAAATCTTACTGTAGTTTCACCTTTTCACTTAAAGGAAACACTATATAGTGTCTCTTTGACATATCCAAATCACCAACATTACCACCCTTGTGGTTTAGGGTAAATAACTGTCACTTGAACACAAGCACTTTAATACCTCAACAATCAATTTGAGAACCAAGATGGCTACAAAATGACTAATGGCAAGTAGCATATATAGCATGGGTATGCTGGACAAAGAGATGATCTGTGTCCTAGCAAGGGCTCTGCAGGATAGCCGATTTCATCATGCTACTCAGAATGTCATACAATTTAAAACATATGAATTGTTTATGGAATTTTCCATTTGATATTTGGTCCAGGGTTCACAGAGGGTAACTAAAGCCAAAGAAAGCAAAATCACAGATAAGGAAGGACTACTGTATTTCCTTTTACTGATATTTCCATGAATTCCAGTTTAATGTGTGAGAATCTTTTTTCAGAATTCAGTCATATATATCTGAATATGAGCTGGAACTCTACAAAGGCAACACAGCTGACTTTGTATATCCCCCAAAAGGAGCATATTAATGCAAGCACATTCCAGTTTGGTTTTGGAGAGAGAGAGCCTAGAGTGTTCCTTTCCCCTAGACTCCCTTTCCAGCAGAAAAAAAAGGGAGTAACAGAGTAGAAAGACAACTGGATTCAAACCTTGCCTTTGATGTTTTCATGTGATGGCTTGAAGACAGTTTCTTCATCGGTGAAACCAGACATAGTAGACCAGCTGATTTCTAGGCATTGTCTGGATTTGTAGAAATTCCCAAGTCCACAAGTCTGTATCAGTAGTGATGGGTAGCCTCTTCCTTTCCTTTGTCCATGGCACTGCCCAGCGGTCTTATGCTTGGGACCATGAGTTTGGATGAGCATACTGTTGAGTCAGTTCAGAGCCAGAACTAAGAATCAACCTGTGAGAAAATCTTCTATACAGAGGATGGGTTTTTTAATATTGGCATCCTATCTTACTTTATTTCTTTTCCTGACTTGGACTTGTGTGACTCCCAGTCCAGAGGGCTTGGAACACCAAGGGGATGTCTTAGTTGTTACCCCAGTGAAGTTCTCTCTTTGCTCTTAATTTTTAAAAACTCTTTTAGATAGGAGCTGACAAAAACTACAATCTTTTCTACTTTTTCTTAAGTAAAAATTTCTTAACAATTCAACCATCACCTCCAATAGTAACAGTGTAGATTCTCAAGTGAGTTGTTTTCTCTCCATTGCCACCATTTTTCTCCCTACCCAGCCAGTTCTTCCTCAGGTGAAATTTTTAAATAGAGGAAAAACTGATTTAATTTGTTATAATTTTATTTCTCAAAAGTCCATGTCAGTATTTAATTTTGCTTTCAGATTTTGCTTTAAGGGACAAAAATCAGAATGCTGCTGCTGCATCTTTGACAAATGTGGCCCCAGGCACATCATGTCATCTCAATGTCCCCTTCCCATTTAATCATGGTAAGAGGGCAGAAGTTGCCTTCCTTAGAGCGAGCATGTGAAAGGAACTTATTACACTGGAAGGAAAGTGATCTCTAATTTATGATAGAGAAATTGGAAGAGAGAAGAGTTGAAGACATATTTTCTAAGGTATTTTAGAAACTACTATTTAAGAAATACTTATAATCCATTTAAAGGCACTTTAGAATGCTCACTGCACTACCTATGCTGTGCCAAAGGAACATTACTATAATCTACCTGCCAAAGCACAGAGTGAAATGCACACTTAAATA